TCAACATTATAACAAACAATATCACTTGCTTACTTAGCAATTCATTCGACACTTTTAAAGAAGAACGATTCACTTGAGATGTTAAAAACCAAAGAAATCTAACCTATTTTTCTCTCTAGGAAAACAAGAGCTAGACAGTTGTCGCCCGTTGAAGAAGTCTTCTTGTTTAAACACCTGGGCGTGTAGCAGTTTTTTGAGAAAAATGAAAAGTGTTTGTTAAAATTTTACACGACCTGAATGTTTTAGGAGGAATATGTGGGAAATGTAATTAAAAGTCATATTTTATAGTTGTTCGGTGAAATGTCACCCTCCTCTCGATTGTAAAATACACACATCCATGCACCATGTATATCCCATGAGTAAATAGATACAAGTCTATACACACAACATGTATAGACTGTATTTCAATGTTGAGAACAATTAATAAAATTTAGTAAAGTATAGAGCTTATTATTATTATATTCAAATGTACTTGTCAAAAATCTGCGAAATCTACATGTAAAATGATAAAACCTGTTAATCCTCCATCCCAAATGCAAACCAATCACGTGAACAAGGCTATAATAGTTGCTAAAAACCCTCCACTTCCCATGTCCCCTAACCAAAGAATCGTCTCTAAAAATGTAACTGTCCTTTATTATCCATAGTCTTAAAATAAAGGAGAATAAAAAAGAAATAGCGAAATATTTACTTAAATTCTATCATTGTAACCGTCCTTTATTATCCATTATAGTGTTAAAAATAAAAGTGAATAAAGAAATAGCGAAATATTTACTTAAATTCTATCATTACCATAAGAAGGCGAAATAATTTTTTTCTAGTGACATTTTGTTAGACCAAGTCCAAAATATTTTTGATTCGCTCCAATCAGCGTAAGAAAATGGTAACCGTTGAATTTATTTCCCCCAACAAAATATTCTCTGGGTCCCGTTTGCATATCAGAGTGAATTTTTTTAAAATGGGTCGGGATTACCGTGTATAGCCACTGCAGTCACAAGGAATAAAATATGTGTAAAGCATAATACTCGTGTCGGAAATGTTTATAATGTACTTTAATGAAATAACATTGAAATCGTACATATGGCTTGGATCAACGTAACATTTACTATATATAATAGTACACATTAATTAATTTCTACAACCCGCACCCGCCAAACAGATCGTTGATGAAATGGGGTCTCTAAGTTTTCCATCTTTGCTATAGATGTTTTAAGCAGGTGTCTTTCACAGCAGAAAGTTGTTTAGTTTTTCGTCAGTCCTCGATGCATTTCCTATTTGATTGCCAAGTTCTTCAGATATCACAGTAAATATTTACTTAGTGGATCAAAATTATCTAAATAAGTAGATCTCCTGCTAATTAGCAGAGACTAATGCCCCCTCTCTCCTAACAGCTTAAAAAAATTATTAAATTTTGAAAATCCCCTTCTTTCAAATTATAAATACATGTACACACAAACGGAAACCTCACAATGTCTCTTTGTGATACATGTAAATGGGATTTTTAAAATTTAATTTGGACTTTTGGTTAAGACGGAACGATAGTACGAACGTTTGTTTTTGTTTAATTTTTTTTTTATTTTAATACCTCTTGAAATAACCGAATTACATTTTGCTGATAAAATTTGCGACTTTTTGGGACGATTTCGGAATCACTTTTACAAATTAACTTAAAGTCCCATAATGGCAGAATACGCGTTATTATGTAAAGTTTAAGACCGAAGTATTTATATTTAAAAAAATACCCCAAAACATTTTCGTCCTAATGTTATTCAATCGATCAATTCAAACTTAATTTAGATCGTTTTGACTTTAGTTTACTGATGTTTATCTCTCTAAAACAAATACATGTATAATAATAATAATTTTGCACCTTTTTCAAACAAACCAGTCCATTCTCCGTGGAAGTTACTGGTTCTTTTTTGTTTTGGATGTGCCTAATTACATGACACTAATTTTAATGACAATGCTCTAGATTGTTCTGCCTTTAAAGTGTATATGGGTTCTTGTACCTTGCCATCAAATTATGGAGTTCCGGAGGCTAAGTGGGTAGACGCTGGCTCGCTAGCCTGGAAGTCGCGTGTTCGATCCCTGCATTGGCCGAGAAAGTTCATCGGGATTTTCTGATGTGGTTTTCCCTTGTCAGTGGTGCAGGACGGAGGGCCTGACAAGGAAAGCTGTCTAGTCATTCGGATGAGACGAAAAACCGAGGTCTCGTGTATACTTTGGCGTGCAAGTAAAAGATCCCTTGGCAGTTGGAATTCGATATAAGAATAGGCCGTAGTGCCGCTGCCCGGGCGAAATTTCCCTCATAGCACACTGCATGGCGTATGCCCGTCTTCATTAACCCAGTCGAAGCAGATAGTAGGACGTTAAACCCCATTTCATTTCATTTCCATCAAATTATTCTTATCCAACGGTGAGCGACGATTTTATATTTTTTATGCGATCAGAAAACGACACTATGAACAGATTACCCGTCGGCTCTAACTATTTTCACTTCCCGTATTATTAAACTGAACTTGATGTCCTTGGTGCCTATAGAGTACGAACAGATTATAGTGGTAGAAGTTTGGAATGGAATGATAGAAACTTGAGCTCAAGTCAAGTGCTAAACACAAACGACAGCAGCGAATCATTCATTTGCTCAAAAGGACAATGAAAATTAATGATGTCTGTATCGAGACGGTGACCATAGGGGCTTTTTTTACATTTCATTCCTAATTAACAATAAATTTACAACTAACCAGTTAATTTAAAACCAAAGACGAATCCCCAAATCTCCAAACAGACTGGGTGTCGCCGCATCATATTTTACCACCGTAGCAGACGAAACTAGTAACGCCCTCTTCTGGAAGAAGTGCGCCACCCAGACTGTAAGAAATTGCTGCACGTGTGTTGAAAACGTGTGATAGTCAATAATTATTTCAATTATTTACAATTCTGAATACAATTGGTTGTTTTAAAAGCTTCATGGGTGTTATGTGTCCTAATTGGCTGAAATCGGTATCTCTAAAATCTGTAAATTTCTTTATTCGCTAATTTTTTATACAATTAGATAATCACCTCTATGCAATAGAACGTTGTATAATTTTTGATATTTTGGCACTGGATCTTTGGTTGCTATCGCTAAAAGATTATATCCAAACGGAATAATTATACGCCTATTTTAAAGTGGACATACATTATTGTCACCTTACTCAGTTCCTTCAAAATTTTGGCGAACAAATTAGCAAGAACGAGTTTTGGGTGAATTTGATACGGGGATTATTGTCATTTTTAATATATAAAGATTTAGATTGTTTTTGACGAGGTTATTGCCCGTGATCTTATTTACAAGTTCTGTAAACAAGTCATTATGAATAATCCCATTAAAGCCATGTATTTCTCCAGCCTGTTAAATAAAGTCATCATCAAGACGGTGGTTCAACCGCGTGAATAACCTTACCCCAACCCATTAAAGTTGTGTATTTGTTTGGTACTCTTATTTTCCAGTCGTGCAGTTCAATGCTTTAGGGCCAGTCAAAGTGTACTCTCCATATGGCTCGCGTTTCAATCGCATGAAAAAATATCCTTGAGGTTGCAAATAGAATGGGATGGGGTTTGCTGTCTTATGTTTTAAATAATATCGAATAGTTGATTCACATCACAATGTTCTTTCCTCGGTGGGTGTGTGAGCGGTTAGGGGTTGGATGGTCGAATGTCAATGAGTCAACTGGCGTGGTTTCAATTACCTGGTTGTACGTGTCAAGCAATAGGGTTGCCTGTCCAATCTCATGGGCTTTCTCCGGGTCCTCCGATTTCCTTCCACTGCTAAAGACCCCTACGCGCAAGCGAATTATTAAAATAAAATTGAACCATATGTTAGTCCCGAAATGATCTAGTTTGTGTCGAGTGGACGTTACCCCCCCCCCCTTCCCCTCTCTCTCTCTCTCTCTCTCTCTCTCTCTCTCTCAATAAGGTCTTGCATTTCCACCTTTTCTCATATTTCTCAATGAAATACTTCTATTACAAATTTAAAACCCCTCTATTAGAATATTATGTGTAGCCTAATATTTTATTGGCCAATGCACAAGGTCATTATTACAGACAGAAGTTCTTGCTAAACCATGTGTATTATACCACCATAGTATAGTTGATGCCCTCTAATACCAGAAATATTAGCTAAATTATAAACTCTACTAGAACATTATGATTTAACATACGCGTAGGAAAAATAATAACTCTCCAGCACACTCTTCGAGAAAAAGATATTCAGGAGACACTCTTTACTATGGCCACGTATATTCATCGATAGAATTCTGAATCAGGGTGATTTGACGATTCACGTTGGGTTTTGTAAAGCATGAGATCATATATGTCGATCAATGTGGGATTCGAAAAAGATCAATTGTGTAGAAGAAAGAAAAATTTAATCGTGTAATTAGGTGAATTCTCCGGTTTCCTTCCACTGCTAAAGATCCCTACGCGCAAGCGAATTATTGAAATAGATAAACCACGTGTTAGTCCCGAAATGATATAGTTTGTGTCGAGCGGACGTTGAACCCAATTTTTGTATTTAAAAGTCAATTTAATCATGTACTTAGGTGAGTCCATGAATTTACATTTCTTGACTAAAATAATATTTCTACATTGGAATGCATTATTTAGATAAATTCATGACAATACATGTACATAGTTAGTCTTAACCCTTCGTTAAGCACGTGATCAATGGACTTACCAGTAGACAGATTTCACCCGCATATAAAAAGCACAAAAGCATGTAACCAAAAATGCTCATTAGGGGGTAAATCGTCTTTCTTAAGACAATCACAAATTACTTGATACATTATGAATTACTATAAATTTTAATAATAAAAGTATAATAATCACATAATAAGTGTTTAATTTATCTATATTGTCCAGCCGTTGAAATGCATCGATAACAAATATTGTCCTCGTTTGTCCAGTTGAGTATATGCAGGTAGATTGTTCGAAGCTATTATTTAAGTGAACATGTAACAGCACGACAACAACTGCTAACGCCATATTGATTATTTATTGTAGCAACGGAGATCAATATGGCGTCTAGTTAGCTTAGCTAGTTCAATGCAGGCAAAGTATACCTATTTTATATTATTTGTGATTGTCTCAAATAGTTCTATACGTGAAAATGAGCTGCATGTTTAAGGGCGTTATCTGTGACAAAGCGTTTGGGGATTATTACATATTAGGCAAGGAGCTTGGAAGGGGAGCTTTTGCCAGTGTATACAAATGTCAACAAAAGGGGACGAGTAATTTCTGGTCAGTCAAGCTGCTGAACAAAAAAAAATACCGAAAGGTGGCTGCCACTGAAATAGGCATTCTTTTAAAACTGAAACACCCGAATGTAGTTCGTTTGAAAGAAGTGTTCGAATCGGCTGAGGAAGTGCACATGGTTTTAGAACTGGTAACAGGTGGGGAGCTGTTCGAAAGGATTATCACTCGAGGACATTATTCAGAGAAAGATGCTGCCTGTGCTGTCAAGGATATGGTCACGGCTGTAGCTTATTTACATAGAAATGGAGTGGTGCATAGAGATCTGAAGCCCGAGAATATGCTTTACGAAGATTTATCAGAACATGCGAGATTAAAAATAACCGATTTCGGTCTTTCAAAAATTCTAGGAACCGACGCTACTATGCATACTGTATGTGGGACACCCACCTATTGTGCTCCGGAAATCTTCTTGGGTAAAAAATATACCCAATCGGTAGACATGTGGAGTCTTGGTGTTGTAACTTATATTCTCCTGTCAGGATATGAACCATTTATTGCTTCTACTGATCGGGAAATGTTCAAAAAAATTATCAAATGTGATTACGAATTTGACTCACCATATTGGGACGCAATCAGTGAAAATGCTAAAGATTTGATCAGGAAAATGTTGATGCTCGAACCAAATAAAAGAATAACAGCTGAACATGCTCTGAAGCATCCTTGGGTTATGGGCTTGGCAACCAAAAATGTTCATATGGAAGAAGCAGTAGTACAAATAAAGACATTTAATGCAAAACGGAAACTAAAGAAGGCCACTGAAGCTGTTTTGGCTGTTGCTAGAGCAACCCACCACCTCCCTCTGGACATGGTACAAATGGTAAATATTGGTGACTCCACAACACCAAACACTAACACAAATATAACCGGAGGCAATGAAAAAATGACCTAACAAAAGCTCACTAATAAGTTACAAATATTGATTTTTGTTTTTGTTTTTGTTTTGACTAAAAATAAATATTACATTTTAAAAACTAATTGTCAAGTTATTGTCCAGCATTTGCAAAGTTGTATACATGATTTTAACTATATTCGTAATATACAATATAATATAAAGGTACATTTTTTGCTGTTGTAAAGTTGTTGTCACCCTTGTTCGTCAAAACATCAGTCTACATTTTTCATCTGATTTTGCTGTGTGACCAAACATGAATGAGATTCGCCAACAATTATTCGCGACGGTAACTGTCATGGCACTCTGGAAATATATTAAATATTTTATTGCATTTGAGTCTGTATTTTTCATTCGTTTTTAAATGAACTAGACTATATCTCAGTTTATTAAATTTGTGCTCTTTAGTGTATGTAGGTTTAACCTTGAAAAACCAACACCTCAAACTAGTCCTTATTTGACTGATGCCATTGCCAAGTTAGATACATATGATACGGGTTTTTTTCTATAGCCAGAGGCAGATCACGGGGAAGAGCAGGGCGCCCAACCTTCCTATTTGTCTGCAAAGTTACCACTAGGCCATGGTAAACCTTTCTTTCCGTTGCGTTTAAACAAAAGGAAGACGGGTTTCAGACTTGCTTTGGTGTATTGGAAGTTTAAAAGATAATAATGAAAAAAACTATCCCAAAAACGATTAGTTCTATCAGTTGAACAATTTAGATATTGTTATCTATTGACGACGAAGGAATGGTGTTAGCTGGTTTAAAAGCACGGTGACCAATGTTATTTATAGTCGATGGTAGTATTTATATAGAAGATAAAAATTGTATGGCACATGATGTAACCCTGGAAAACACCAGATAGCAATATGTCTCATTATTATTAGGTGTAACGTTTGATGACCATATTGGCGTGTTCCGATAAGTAAAGAGACACACGGCTTAGTGCCGTGCCTGTTGTTGATAAACCAACGAATAAATTGTAAACTTTGATGAGAGAGAGAGAGAGAGAGAGAGAGAGAAATGGGGTTTAACGTCCACTCGACACAAACTAGGTCCTTTCGGGACTAACATATGGTTTAATTTTATTTCAATAATTCGCTTGCGCATATGGGTCTTTAGCAGTGGGAGGAAACCGGAGGACCCGGAGAAAACCCACGAGGTTGGACAGGCGACCCTACTCCTTGTCACGTACAACCGGGGATTCGAAATCACGCCAGTCGACTCAATGACAGACTTTATGATACAGCGCGCGCACGCTAACCATTCAGCCATCCAACCCCCCAAACTTTGATGAGGTTGACTAACAACTGGTAGGTATTTGGCCACAATGAATTCTACGTTCGTGTCCCAATAACCAGAATCTGAACTGTTATCATAAATAATTTCATTTTGTTAAGAAAAATCAAGACTAGCCTACTCAAAGGTTTAGTAATCAGTCATTTTAGTTAGGGCTATTTGAGTAATAAATTTGACTTCTACTCAAGTCTGACTATCGTTTCATTCATAATTTATGTTAACAAAAATGAGCTTATTTTGTTATCAAACAATCCTACTTTTTATAACCTCATACGATTTATATCATAAACGACAACAAAAAAGCTAAATGAAGGGAACAGTGTTACTTCGTTATGGCAACGGTGAGTTACCTAGTACGTCTCCAATTTCCGGTATGAGGTAACGCGATATTTGACGAGAACAAAGAAATATGTTATACATATGTTGGACCAATGGCGTACACACATGCTAAGTTAATTCATGTTCCAGAGTTTTGTATTTGGTCCATGGTTGATTATTATAAGATATTAACACACAAGAAAAATGGATTATTTTGTAGGACTACGTGTACATAATATGTATACATACACCGTGTAAGCCATATTTACGCTTTTGCGTGAAATGGTGTTGGCATGTGACAAAGTTCGATCATCCATTTTCTAAAAAAAAGCCCAACCCCATATGCGAGTCAATATTGTTAAGAAAAAAATCAAAACACATTATGAGCATATCGTGGCTTTGCTAATGTCTTACAGACGCCCATCACGCCACAACAGACCCCATGGATGTACCTGCAGTCCTTAAGAAACAGGCAACTAATCCAATTTATACGCATAATATTGCCGTCTGGTTTTCAATATAACCCCGTGTTCTCCACCGATTAAATCAGATGTTAAGCCAAGTGTCAAAAGTTGGCGGAGATTAAATAACAAACACCAGTTATATTTTCTACCTCATTAAAGACTGACTGTTTTTGTAGCCACATCAAAGTTATATCAAATTCGCTTGTTTGCGACGAATATCAGGAGCATGCTAGCATCTTAGGGTGAGAAATATGCATGATCGCATACTGTAGGCTTGTAGAGTTCTGGATATTTCTACTCGGGGTGCACTGGAAAAGTTAACCACGTGCCAACGTTCTGCGTCATTTCAGGTCTAAATTTGAACATAAGCATTATATAATCTACATGCTGACTATAATAAGTGACGGGAGATAAAATGCTGCATATTATAGGGAGGATGGGGAAGTCGTTTTGAGGATACCCCCTCCGGTCTTTTTGCTTCGCAGATTTCAAGATCTGCAGACGTAAATCATTTTACAATATGGCGTAACCTCTCAACGTTTTTGCAACAAGGCGCCTGTTTTTTGGAAGCTACTAGACTATGGCTGCGATGGCTATGGTTAATTAGGAAAGAGGCAAATTGTAAAATATGTTGAAGTCGTTACAAATCATTGAAGGTATGTTGAAAAAGAAATTAATATAACATATTCTCATGGTTAATAACCGAAAACACAAACACTGACACTATCTACAAAAATGACATTTCAAAAAGGCATGCCCCTGAAATTGTTTCGTATAATATGTACTTTAAACCCTAATACAGGAATAATCCAAGACTAAAGGCAAATATAGATTTTCATTTCATACACGATAAGTTATTGCCGTCTAAAGTTCGCGTCGTAATGAAAATGTGTTGTGTCCCCGAAGGGTGCTTTGAGAAAGAATTTATAAACCAGAATTTATGGTTGGATATAGGCTATGGCTGCTTTGTGTTATAAAGAAATGCCCCCTATCCTTAACCCCTGGCGCAGTGGTTCATTCGGCCCTCAGTCCATTTGGCTAATAACTTTATCACGTACTCCGTCTTTATTATCCCGGTTGATGCAGAAAAATAGGACGTTAAACCCCAATTCATTCATTCATTCTACCACGAACTTCAATCAAATCATCGCAAAGTTTGCGGAGTTTGACAATAGACGCGGAAGTAGTGGATTATCGAGCTGATGATGTAAAATGGACCTCGCGTGCCCTCTGCCCCCTGATAATCCTACCCCAGTATTGGTCCTCAGAATGACATCATCCCAAACTGAAAATATACGATTCATTGTCAAAAGTGTTTTATTTGCTGCATATTTTTGTATATATATATTTGTGAAATGTAAGAGATTATAAAATGTACATTTCACCTTAAGTTATTGACCTTGAATCAGAATATTTATTTGATTTTATTTCCAATCATTAATAACGTACGATTTTAAGCGGTTTTAATACTGTTACGTGCCTAAGCCTTACTACCTATCGACACTTCTGGTTAACAAACATCTTTTATTCTGTTCTGTCGTATCTGAATTTACATGAGGATTAAGCGGATGGACATAAAACAGTTCGTAAACAAGCAAGTAAAAGATACAGCTGTGTATGATCAAAGTTTGACAGTCGTCCGCCATTAGTCAAATTATCAACGTCTGCATGCTACTTTCCGCGCGTTTTTCAAAGATAGTGAACGTGTTGATAAAACGTGAAATGTCAGAAGGATTTAGACATGTCGTGAATAGTGGGGGAGTGTAGATAATCACTCTCTAAGACACTAGATTTACATCTTTCTACATTTAAACATACAGATATACCATCTCGTTCAAATTGGGTGCTTTGACCCCAGATTCCGAGAAAACTTACAATTGTTGGTTAGATTAACGAATAAAGAAATATTTTAAAGTTGATAGATATTGATTTTATTGTTATACTGATCAGGATTGGGATGTATTACTTTGTGGTGCTTAAAATAAACCCTATTTCCTAATACAAAATCTAAAAAAAGCAATTTACGGAATATTGTATGTCAAAGATACTTCAAATGGTCAGACACGAGCCCGCCATACAACTTAGATGGCTAGAGAAGAATACATCTTAAATTCCTTTTAAACTGTATGGTCAACTTGTCCAGTATGATAGAAACAGACGGGGTGCAGACGCGTGCTGGGCGTGTAGGCATCCGCCTACCCTACCAAGTGTCAATGTATGTCATGGCTCCAATATACGTCAAATCGATTCTAGCACGGCCTCCAAAGTCTTTACGGCGCTGCCCCCCCCCCCCCTTCCCATTTTCATGAATGAAAAAAAAAGAAACCGGAAGTGATTGACAACGCTCGAATCCAATGAGATTTCCTAATAGGTTATAGGGGTGAGTGTGGCTATGTGTCATCCCTTTCGAAAAAGTGCCCCCCCCCACCACACCTTAAGAGTGTCGTAGGTTCCTTCGGAGGCCCCAGCACGCCTCTGAGTGGGGTGGTTAGGGGTTGATGCTCATTTCCGGCAAGCTTTTGAAGGTGTATTACATACAAATATTTGACTCGCTGTACCCAGCACCTATCAAATGTAAATATAAATTAGACAACTGTAAAAGATAAAGCGACAATATAAAAGAATCTGAGGATACATCTTGGAATTGTGTAATATATAGTTACTAACGTCTGTTTGTTCTTAGAATCTTGATGAAGATGTTAAGCTTTAATTGATCTCGGCCTTTATATGGTTTTCATGCAACACTTCTGTTATAGAACAAACAACATGATAGAAACTTACACCGTAAATTGCAGATATTTTCACACAGAAAGGATCGCATAACATTTGTATTTATATAAGTTTCCTCAATGCCATCTGTTTTCAAGGCGCCGCGGAGGTCCACAAAACATATGTTGACAAACCTGTAATAAGATCGGGAATAAACAGCCAATGTTGTTTTCTGTACATACTTTGATTAGATAAAAAAAATCGGAGAAAAACTGGAAATATTAAGCGATGCATAAAATAATAACAACGTTTGGAATATGACGGTATAATGTCACACTGACACTTATTAATAAATAAAATACCAGACGTACAGACGGGA